GTCCAGTCGTGGGGCCTGAACTCTGGGCCTGGGCACTGTCCCTCAGCTCTTCAGCTCAAGGCTAGCACTCTACCACTTGAGCCACAGCGCCACTTCCAATTCTGGCTTTTTTCTTTTTGCTTATGTGGTGCTGAGGAATCGATCCCAGGGCCTCAGACATGCAAGGCAAGCGCTCTACCACTGAGCCACCTTCCCAGGCCCCCCCCCCCTTTTTTGTGGTGGGTTGTAGACTTGAATTCAGGGCCTGGGCAGTTTCTCTGAGCTCTTGCTGAAGGCTAGCACTCAACCACTTTGAGCCACAGCTCTACTTCTGGTGTTTGAGTGAATTAATTGGAGATAAGATTCTCACAAGGACTTTTCTGTCTGGACTGGTTTCTAACCATGATCCTTAGATCTCAGCCTCCTGAGTATCTAGGATTACAGGCGTGAGCCACAGGCCCATGGTTCATCTCTGTTATTTCATTGTAATGTTCCTTAATCCCTTTGATTTCATGTTCCTTAACTATAGAATGAATACTTAAGGTTTCTTTTACCTCTTTGATTTGAAAGCTTTAATTTTAAACATGAAGGTGGGAGGGATTAATAGTCTTTCTGAAATTTAAAATAAGAGGCAGCACATTTAGTTTATCTTATTCTCTTTATGTGTAGATCATGGAAGGGAGATGGTTGCTGTATATGTTACTGGTCCTTGGAACTGCCATTATTCAGGCTCATGATGGACATGATGACGATATGATTGATATTGAGGATGATCTTGATGATGTCATTGAAGAGGTAGAAGATTCAAAATCGAAACCAGATACCAGCACTCCTCCATCTCCAAAGGTTTGAATTGGTTTTTGAATCTATTCCCTCATGGTAAATATGAACATAGGGGTTGAGCATGTAGTTCAGTGGTAGAGTGCTAGTATGTTCAAGGCTCTTGAGTTTCAGCTCCATTACTAAAATTAAAAAAAAAGGGGCTGGGAAGGTGGCTCAGTGGTAGAGTTCTTGCCTTGCACACCTGAGGCCCTGGGTTCAATTCCTCAGTACCACATAAGCAGAAAAAGCTGGAAGTGTTGCTGTGGCTCAAGTGGTAGAGTGCTGGTCTTGAGCTGAAGAGCTGAGGGATGCACTCAGGCCCAGAGTTCACGCCCCACGACCGACAAAAAAAATAAATAAAATTAAACATAGAATAAATTTGGATCTTTTCAAAGGAAAAGCAAAGTTTGTTAAGATAACAAAACTGATGTTTGCTTTGTTCTATATTGCCAGAGGTCCATATGGATTAAATTCAATCCTAGCTACTCAGGAGGCTGAGATCTGAGGATTGCAGTTCAAGTCCAGTCCAGGCAGGAAACTACAATTAACCACTAGAAAATTAGAAGTGGCCCTCTGGCTCAGTGGTAGAGCACTAGCCTTGAGCAAAAGAACTCAGGGAGAGCGCCCAGGCCCTGATTTCAAGCCCAATTTTTTCTTAAAAAAGAAAAAATTGCTGGACACCCATGGCTCACGCCTGTAATCCTAGTTACTCAGGAGGCTCAGATCTGAGGATCATGGTTCAAAGCCAGCCCTGGCAGGAAAAGCTGAGAGACTCTGATCTCCAATAAACCACTAGAAAACTGGAAGTGGCGCTGTGCCTCAAGCGGGTAGAGGACTCGCCTTGAGCTGAAGAGCGCAGGGACAGCACCCAAGCCGAATTCAATCCCCACAACCGACCAAAAAGAAAAAAGAAAAGAAAAATTTTATTTTTCAAGGGGTAGCTATGAAAGTTTCATGGCAATTTAAAGCAAGCCAGGAAAATTAATCTATTGAGAAAAGACAGTTGTTGGTAGCTGGGTGCCAGTGGTAGTGCTATTGTTCAGGAGGCTGAGAATCAGTCTGGGCAGACAAATCTGGAGAGACTTATCTCTAATCAGCAAAAAGCCAGAAATGAAATTGTAGCTCAAGTGTTAGAACTCTAGCCTTGAGTGAAAAAGCCAAAAAATAGCTCAAGGCTGAGTTCAAGTACCATTATCAACACAAAAGAAAATGTTACTGGGGGCTGGGAAGGTGGCTCAGTGGTAGAGCACTTGCCTTGCATGCTCAAGGCCCTGGGTTCGATTCCTCAGCACCACATAAGAAAAAAGCTGGAAGTGGTGCTGTGGCTCAAGTGGTAGAGCGCTAGCCTTGAGCTGAAGAGCTGAGGGACAGCGCCCAGGCCCAGAGTTCAGGCCCCACGACCGGACCCCAAAAAAAAAAAAAGAAAATGTTACTGTGCAATTTTTTTTTTCTTTCTAGTCCTGGGGCTTGAAATCAGGGCCTCGGCCCTGTCCTTAAGCTATTTTGTTGAAGACTAGGGTTCTACCACTAGAGCTACAACTCTACTTCCTGCTTTTTTTGGTGCTTAATTCAAGATAAGAGTCTCACAGATGGAAGTGGCTCTGTGGCTCTCGAGGTAGAGTGCTCGCCTTGAGCTGAAGAGCGCAGGGACAGTGCCTAAGCCCAGAGTTCAAGCCCCACGACTGACAAAAAAAAAAAAGGCTCACAGACTTTCTTGCCTTGGCTGGTTTTGAGCTGTAAGACTCAGATCTTAGCCTGCTGAGTGGCTAGGATTACAAGCATGAGCCACCAGTGCCTGGCTGGAAAAAAAAAAATTTGAGGCATGGTTTTGCTATGTAGTGTAACTGGTATGTAATTTGTGATTCTCGAGTTTAGTCTCCGAAGTGCTGGGATTACAGCATTTGTGAACCTTAATCCCTTGTGAACCTTTAGGCTCAGCTAAAATTTCAATTCCTAATTCACTTCTGTCTTTAACATAGGTCACCTACAAAGCTCCAGTTCCAACAGGAGAAGTTTATTTTGCTGATTCTTTTGATAGAGGCTCTCTGTCAGGGTAAGTGTTTTCCTAGGTAGAAAAATCATAAAAGGTGGACATCATTTGTTTTGGACCATAGCATTTTATCTATCTAATCTTTATGTCTCTTTGGGAATATAGACTTTTGGAACTGGTCATTCGTATTGCTCCCATTCTTTTCCCTCTTCCTCTACCCTAGATTTTGTTGTTTGGAAAATTTTGTCTTGAGCCTTAAAAAATAGTCCAATGAGCTTAACACTGGTGGCTTAATCCTGTAATCTTAGCTATTCAGGACTTTGAGTGACATCTGAGGCTCACTGTTCAAAGCCAGTTTGGGCAGGAAAGTCCATGAGACTCATAACTTTGGTACCCTTTCTTTTCTTGGTTTGTAAGCTGAACACAGTGCATTATCACTTATGTATGACAGACATATAATGACAAAGGTTAAGTAGGCTATCAGGAGAAGTATAGATGGTTCATATATATCTATATATATATATTGTTTCCCTTCACTTGATCAACTGTCATTTGAATCTTTAATTTGAAGGTTTATCTTTAATTACAGGTGGATTTTATCCAAAGCCAAGAAAGATGACACTGATGATGAAATTGCCAAATACGATGGTGAGAATTTCATTTTGTCTAGCAGATGGAGGTGATGGATCTCCATGGCGTCTCTTAAGACTAGCTAGTTTCAAAAAGTACTCCTTGGGCCGGGCGCTGGTGGCTCACGCCTGTAATCCTCGCTACTCAGGAGGCTGAGATCTGAGGATCGCGGTTCAAAGCCAGCCCGGGCAGGAGAAACCGTGAGACTCCTATCTCCAATAAAAACTACCAGAAAACCGGAAGTGGCGCTGTAGCTCAAGTGGTAGAGCGCTTGCCTTGAGCTGAAGAGCTGAGGGACAGCGCCCAGGCCCAGAGTTCAAGCCCTACGACCGACCAAAAAAAAAAAAAAAAGTACTCCTTGGGAATTGCAACATCTTTGTGTATTGTCTTATGTGATAGGAGTAGACCTATGTGATAGGATCAGACCTGTGATACTGTATATTAGAGGAAGTGCTTTTCAAGGCATTGGTATAATGAATATGTTGGATATCCTACTGTTAGATAAATATTTGTATACTTTGTATTAACAGCCCAGCTGTCATGGAATAATGAAGTATGTTAAAAATTTATCAGTACAGGGGCTGGGAAGGTGGCTCATTGGTAGAGCGCTTGCCTTGTATGCCTGAGGCCCTGGGTTCGATTCCTCAGCACTACATAAGCAAAAAGAAAAAAGCCAGAAGTGGCGCTGTGGCTCAAGAGGTAGAGCAATGGCCTTGAGCTGAAGAGCTGAGGGACAGCGCCCAGGCCCAGAGTTCAGGCCCCATGACTGGTTAAAAAAAAAAAATTATCAGTTCAATAGACTTGTAATACATGGAGTTTAGTTGGTTGCCATTTAAAAGACCTTCAAAGGTATAGTTAAGAAGTGGTGAACTTTTTTTTTTTTTTTTCTGTTTTGTAGGAAAGTGGGAGGTAGATGAAATGAAGGAAACAAAGCTTCCCGGCGATAAAGGACTTGTATTGATGTCTCGGGCCAAGCATCATGCCATCTCTGCTAAATTGAACAAGCCCTTCCTATTTGATACCAAGCCTCTCATAGTTCAGTAAGTGAAATGCTTGTTTGTTAAAAACTATAGAAAGGGTATTTAAGAGGACATCAGAAAACTGTTGAAAAATTAGAGATTTTATATACACACACAAACACACATACTATTCTAATGAATTTCGAATCCCCTAATAAAGTATTTTGAAACAAACTAGTTACTTCTTTCATAGTAAAGGAACATCTGAATTTTGGAAAAGCTTATTGGGAATCTGCTTTAAGGTTTAGTTTTATTTACCTTAGTTATTTTTGTGGGATTTGGTAGATATACAGAAACAGTAGATAATAGAATCTTTTCTAAATATAAACAGATGGCTTGTGATAAAATCTTTAACTAGAGTGGGGTAAAGATATTATAAGATCTGATCTTTCAGAATGCCATGAGGTGTTTTGCTTTTCTCTCAAATTAGGTATGAGGTTAATTTCCAAAATGGAATAGAATGTGGTGGTGCCTATGTGAAACTACTTTCCAAAACACCAGAACTCAACCTGGTAGGTACCTGTTTGTTGTGTGACTGGCCTTGCACAAATATTTTTTAAAAATTAAATCTTAGAGAAAAAGGGAAGAAGATATTATAAAACAAGAAAATAAAGGAAGGAAAAAAAGAAAGAAAAAGCCTACTCCTTTCTGTTAATTTTTATCTCTTAGAGTATTTACAATATTGATTTTGACATTAATGTGCTCTTTATTTGAAATGTCGCGTTAAAAGTTACCAGCAACACTCTGATTCTCACTGGTTTCTGATTTGTGTAAGTTTTAGTTTTAGCAAACTTAGTTTTACTTTTTTGAAAACAAATATATGCATTAAAAAGCACTTAGATATATTGTTTTCTAATGATTGTTAATTATTTCTTTTCATTGGTGTCTGAAATTTATACAGCAGCCAACTTTTAAGTATAACTAATTTATTTGGAATTTTGTAAGAGAAAACATACTTATGAAAGGTTGCTTTAGAAGACTGACAAGATTTACTTAAAATTATTCATCTTTGTTTCTGAAGGATCAATTCCATGACAAGACCCCCTATACGATTATGTTTGGTCCAGATAAATGTGGAGAAGACTATAAATTGCACTTCATCTTTCGCCACAAAAACCCCAAGACAGGTGTATATGAAGAAAAGCATGCTAAAAGGCCAGATGCAGATCTGAAGACCTATTTTACTGATAAGAAAACACATCTTTACACATTAAGTAAGAAAAAACATTAGTTTGGGTTTTTAAAAACATGAGGTTTTAAGATATGCCTGGAGAATACTGGAACCTGCAAGAAATCTTGTACCTTTGTGGTAGAATGAACTTTATTAGTCAGCACTAAAAGAAGTTTCTCTTCCATTGTTGAGTGAGGACTTTGTGTGCATGTGTGCATACGTGTGCTCATGAGTAAATGCCAGTCCTGGGGCTTGAACTCAAGGCCTAAGCTGTGACCCTGAGTTTTTTTGTTCAAGTCTAGTGGTCTACCACTTGGACCACAACTCTACTTCAGCTTTTTAGGTGGTTAATTGGAAATAAGTCTCCCAGGGTGGCTTTCAACCATGATCCTCAGATCTCAGCTTCCTGAAGTAGCTAGGATTATAGATAACTGTGAGCCACCAGCACCACCCGGCTGTTTGATACCATTTTAAGAATATACTCTTGGGAGGCTAGGAATGTGGCTTAGTAATAGAGCGCTTGCCTAGCATACATGAAGTCCTGGATACCCTGGGTTCAGTTCCTCAGTACCACCAAAAAAATACCTGAAGTAGTGCAGTGACTCAAGTAGTAGAGAGCTAGCTAGCCTAGCCTTGTGCAAAAAGCCCAGGCCCTGAGTTCAAGACCCAGGACTGGCAAAAAAACAAAAACAAAAAACCAACAACAATGTACCCTTGGATCTGAAAGTGTGTAGTTCAATGGTAAAAGTGCTTCCTTAGCACAAGAACATGGGTTCAACCTTCCAGCACCACAAAAAAAGAAACATGCTTTTATGTCCTATTAAGAGTTAATTCACTGATACTTCTTCATTCCTGCCCTTGTTTAGATTCTTGTTGATAAAATGAAATAATAGAATATATAGGAGAGTTAGATGTACAGTCTTTCAAAATTATTAGTTGAATTAACTTTTTGTTGTTGTGGAGCTTGAACTCAGGGTCTAGGTGCTGTCCCTAAGCTCTTTTTGCTCAAGGCTAGCGCTCTACTACTTTGAGCTACCACACTACTCCCGGTCTTCTGATAGTTAATTGGAGAATAGAGTCACCCACTTTCCTGCTTGGGCTGGCTTTGAACCACTGTTCTTAGATCTCAGCCTCCTGTAGTAGCTAGGATTACAGGCATGACCCACCAGGGTCCAGCAGTTGAACTGACTTTGAATGCTTCAGTACCTGGACAGTTAATCTCAACTCTGAATAGGGTTTCAAGCTTGGCCACTGATGCCTAGCAAGTGTCGGGTTAACTAACTTGAATTGCATCTAACCTTTTTCCAGTCTTGAATCCAGATAATACTTTTGAAATATTAGTTGACCAGTCCGTTGTAAACAGTGGAAATCTGCTAAATGACATGACTCCTGCTGTAAATCCTTCACGTGAAATTGAGGATCCAGAAGACCGGAAGCCTGAGGACTGGGATGAAAGACCCAAAATACCGGATCCAGATGCTGTCAAGCCAGATGACTGGTGAGTCTTGGGGACCCATCCTTGAGTGTAAAAGAACATTTACTTACATTCACATGGCTACTCACACCTCTTGATGTAGCCAAATGTTGGTAGTATAAGATCTGATTAAATAACCTACAGTGTAAATCAACTGTAATAATAAAAAAACAGAAGAAAGAAATCTGTTTCAGTTCTGTATTAAAGAGAAAACAGAAATTACTATCTGTAGTTGAAAAGGGGGCCAGTAGTGGTTATCCTAATTTTCTCATGCCATTTTATAAATCACAGAATTTAAAAATGATGGTAGTTTGTTATCAGCACGCTTCAATTTTACGTGTGTGTGTGTGTGTGTGTGTGTGTGTGTGTGTATGTATGTGTATGTACTGGCGCTCAAACTCAGAGCCTGATGCTCTCACTTAGCTTTTTTTTTTTTTTTTTTGTCTGCTCAAGGCTAGTACTCTACCTACATCTTGAGCCACAGTTCCACTTCAAGCTTTTGCTGTTAATGGGAGATAAGAGTCTCAGGTGGGGGGCTGGGAAGGTGGCTCGTGGTAGAATGCTTGCCTTGCATGCATGAGGCTCTGGGTTTGATTCCTCAGCACCACATAAGCAGAAAATGCTGGAAGTGGTACTGTGGCTCAAGTGGTAGAGTGCTAGCCTTGAATTGAAGTGCTGAGGGACAGCACCCAAGACTGACAAAAAAAAAGGAATCTCAGGTGGGGCTGGGAATGAGGCTTAGTGGTAGAGTGCTTACCCGGCATGCATGAGGAGGCCCTGGGGTTGATTCATTAGTACCACATAAAAAATTAAGAGTACTGGACTTTCCTGCCCAGATTAGGTCCTGTGGGCATTTCATGTAAACAGAATAATATGATATGATTTTTTGAATACGGCTTCTTTTAGTCAGCATAAATGTTTCTGAAGTTGAACTTTTTTTTTTTTTTGTCGGTCATTGGGCTTGAACTCTGGGCCTGGGTGCTGTCCCTGTGTTCTTCAACTCAAGGTTAGCACTCTACCGCTTGAGCCACAGTGTCACTTCTGGTTTTCTGCCCAGGCTAGCTTTGAACCTCGATCCTCAGATCTCAGCCTCCTGAGTGGCTAGGATTACAGGCGTGAGCCACTGACACCCGGCTTGAAGTTGAACATTTGGAAACATGTAAAAATACATTTCTTTCAAAGGTTGAATATCTTGTAACATAGATAATACTATATTCTGTAGTTGATGAGCAAGGTTTTAGGTTGTTGCCCTCTTTTGGTTGGGATTGAGTTGTAAAAGTTCTTTATTCTGAATAATATGACTTTGTTAGATACATAATTTACAAATACTTTCTAGAAGTATTCAATTGGCAGCAAAGTCCATGACACTCTTATCTACAATTAACCACCAGAAAACCAGAAGTGCCACTGTGGCTCAAGCGGTAGAGTGTTCACCTTTAGCTGAAGAGCTGAGGAACAGCACCAAGGCCCAGAGTTCAAGCCCCATGATCGACTAAATAAATTAAAAAGATATTAAACCAGGAGCTGGTGGCTCAGGCCTATAATCCTAACTACTCTGTAATCCTAACTACTCAGGAGGCAGAAATCTGTGAATTATGGTTCAAAGTAAGCTGGGCAGGAAATTTGGTGAGGAAGGTTTCTTATCTCCAGCTAACCACCAAAAAGCTGGATATTAACTTTCATTTGAAGGTTAAGAATGACCAGTTTCTCAGGCTGGGAAGGTGGCTTAGTAGTAGAGCTATTGCCTTGCATGCATGAGGCCCTGGGTTCGATTCCTCAGCACCACATAAGCAGAAAAAAAAAAGCTGGAAGTGGGGCTGTGGCTCAAGTGGTAGAGTGCTAGTCTTGAGCTGAAGAGCTGAGGGACAGCACCCAGGCCCAGAGTCCAGGCCCACGACCAGACCCCCCCCCAAAAAAAGAAAAAGAAAAAAAGACCAGTTTCTCACAAGTAAATGAATTACTTAAAAAGAATAAAAAGGCACTATATTCTGCTTCTCTGGCCAGTATTGTCATAATTGGTACTTTCCTTATGTATAAGGGATGAAGATGCTCCTGCTAAGATTCCAGATGAGGAGGCCACGAAACCTGATGGCTGGTTAGATTATGAGCTCGAATATATACCTGATCCAGATGCAGAGAAGCCAGAAGATTGGTAAGAATTGGAGTTAAGACTCTAAATTACCTATTTTTCTTTTTGGAGTTAAGATTCTAAATTACCTGTTTTTTTTTTTTCGTTTTAAATTAAAATAAGCTAGATGGTTAAATATGGTCAAAATGCCCAAACTTAAGGATAAAGGTCTATAAATATAATTGTATTTTATCATTTTTTGAAATGCATCTGTTAAGAAAGGCCATTCTGTTGAAAGTGAGAAAGAAGATGGTATTCTGTAGTACAACACTGAACGAATTCCACCAGGATCTCCTGGGAATGCTGGGTTGGCCGGATGTTCATAGTTCTTCATCCCAGAACCCATTGGTAATTTGTTGTTTATATTACATCTCTACAGGGATGAGGATATGGATGGAGAGTGGGAGGCTCCCCAGATTGCCAATCCTAAATGTGAGTCAGCTCCTGGGTGTGGTGTCTGGCAGCGGCCTATGATTGACAACCCCAATTATAAGGGCAAATGGAAACCTCCCATGATTGACAATCCTAATTACCAGGTTTGTCCTTTTTGATTACTGAGTTGATTTTATTAATGTTTGTCCATCTATGAGTTTTATCTGAAGTGCTATTCATGATTAAGTGGGAAATAAACTTCATATGTTGAGAGACAACTTAGTTTTGTAGGTTAACTGTTGGTAAAGAGAGAAAAGATTCATAGTTGCTTATTACGTCTGCTTAAAAGAAACAGGGATAATTGGTTTCCATGTCCCAGTGCTCACTCTTCTGAGTGGCCTTTATTTTCTTTTTGTTAAATGTGCTCTTTTTTTTTGATTCATTATTATTTTTAAGTAGTTGTACAAAGAAGTTCCCATTCTACAAAACAGTATATGAATACAAGGTGTCTGACAACATTGCCACCCATCGCTCCTAACCCATCCCTTCTCTCACTTCTTTGTTTTTAAAGTGAGGCCCAGAGTTCAGGCCCCACAACCAAAAAAAAAGCCAATCGGTAGAGTGCTCACCTTGAGCTGAAGAACTCAGGGACAGTGCCCAGGCCCAGAGTTCAAGCCCCATGACCGACCAAAAACAAAACAAAACAATCTACAGTATCCACAGATGTGAGCCAGTCTGCAGTGGCTCACATCTGTAGACACTCCTAGATACTCAGGAGGCTGAGATCTGAGGATCACAGTTCAAAGCTGGCCTTCAGCAGGAAACTGTGAGACTTATCTCCGGATTAACTACCAGAAAACCAGAAGTAGTGCTGTGGCTCAAAGTGGTAAGGGTGCTAGCCTTGAGTGAAAAGGCTCAGAGACAGTGACCAAGCCCTGAATTCAAGTCTCCTATACCTGCAAAACAACAACTACAAACCTTCACTAGCCAGTTGTCATTGGCTAGATACTTTATAATCCTAAACTACTGAAGAAACTGAGATCAGGAGGATTGTAGTTTTTATTTTTTAAATTTTATTGTCAAGGTGATATATGTAGAGTGGTTACAGTTAAATCTGTAAGGTGGAGAATTATAGTTTGAAACCATCCTGAGCAGAAAAGTTCATAAGACTGTCTCTAACCAGCAAAAAGCTGGTATAGTGCTATCAAAACAAACAGAACTGCTGAATTCACATCCCAGTATCAATAACACATTGCTGTCATTTGCTCTTTTCCTGCTGTTCACTTAAGTTTAACAAAGTTAGTATTTGTCCTCCTTGATGCAGTCAGTTTTTGTGTTCCTTACCTGAAATAATTTTTTGAAACTTTTTTTTTTAGGGAATATGGAAACCCAGAAAAATACCAAATCCAGATTTCTTTGAAGATCTAGAACCTTTCAGAATGACTCCTTTTAGTGCTATTGGTTTGGAGCTGTGGTCCATGACTTCTGACATTTTTTTTGACAACTTTATCATCAGTGGTGATCGAAGAGTAGTTGATGACTGGGCTAATGATGGATGGGGTCTGAAGAAAGCTGCTGATGGAGCTGCTGAGGTTTGTATTTGTTATTAGAGGTAATGGAAGTAGTTTGGGAATGCTGTCATTGTGGTTTTCTCTTTTTGGGAAATAACATTACCTAAAGTATAACTGTGGATCTCATTTTATTATCACTAAGTGGCTTTAGAGTCTCTCCTGTGTTATGTGCAGGGTGTGTATGACTTAATTGCCATTGGGAACACATTTTAGCACACTCTAATAATGTTTATTCATAGTTTGTTCATGTGTAGAATTTTTAGACAACTGTTCTTATGACTGAAGAATTTAATTGTGATGCCTGAGATACTATAAGCCACCATTTCTTGCCAGCACTGGTGAGTGGCTTATGCCTAGAATCCTGGCTACGCAAGAGGCTGAGATTTGAGATCTCAGTTCTAAGCCAGCCAGGATAGAAACAACTGTGGGATTCTTGCCGCCAGTCAACCACCAAAAAGTCAGAAGTAGAGCTGTGACTCAAGTGGTAGAACACTAGTTTTGAGCTCAGAAGCTGAGACAGAGTGCCCAGGACCTGAGTTCTTTCCCGAGGATAGGCATCCAAAAACAAAGAATCTACTTAAGGAAGTTGGTCAATCGGTAGAGTGCTTGCCTTGAGCTGAAGAGCTCAAGGACAGCACCCAGGCCCAGAGTTCAAGCCCAAGACCAACAAAAAAAATTTTTTTTAATTAAAAAACAACAAAAAACCCTACTTAGCTTTGAACCCTTTGAGAAAGGAGCAACCTAGCAATGCTGTAACTGAACAGAGGAATAAATAGTGTAGTTTGCATTTGATGTTAGAAGACAGTGCTTTCTGCCTTGTTTTGCAGCCAGGTGTAGTGGGGCAGATGCTGGAGGCAGCTGAGGAGCGCCCGTGGCTCTGGGTGGTCTACATATTGACTGTGGCTCTGCCGGTGTTCCTTGTCATCCTCTTCTGCTGCTCTGGAAAGGTAGGGATGTGTTTTGAAATTGGAAGGAATTGTATTGATGTTAAATATAATTCAGATAGATATATCACTTAAAGTTTTTCTCAGCAGCTCTGTAGTCATGACTGAGCCACATTTTCTGTTGAATTCTGAAACATTCACTCCTACCTGATGGCCATTTTTTTTTTTTTTGATGGCCATTTTTTTGCAGCAGACTGGAAGAGAATTTATAGCCCCTCAGTTGCCATTATTATTTATTTCTCTCCATTAATATTTGGTATCAGCGTTTTCTTTTTTAAGAAGAGCAACAAGCCAGGCACCGGTGGCTCACGCCTGTAATCATAGCTACTCAGGAAGCTGAGACCTGAGGATCACAGCTCAAAGCCAGCCCAGGCAGGAAACTCCGTGAGACTCTTATCTCCAATAAACCAC